CTTTGATACTTTTACTTGAGTACAAAAACTTGTAGTTTGTAGTTTGTACTTGAAAATAATAGCAATATTATTTGTTTTGTTGAACTTTTGACGCTCATTTTTTGGTGCTGAATTGATCAAGTTTAGATTCAACTGCTTGTATATTCTAACAACAAGTTGGACACATCATTTTTATCAAAATGTTTTGGTAGAATCTTATATTCTGTTTCTTTATTTAATGCACGTCTCATCTTCGATGCTATCGATATTTTGATTCGATTATTTTATACATATACATAGTAGTTTTATATATTCCTTTATCGTTGAAAATGCCTATTCAAATATAGTCGTAATATCGAATATTATTTTTTATTTCATAAAAATTAAGCATGCTATAAGCAGTTTATTGGTTTTAACTTAGAGTGAAGAAAATTGGTTTAAGATCTATCAAAATAGGTTAAATAACATATCATCCTAGAATTTTTTTATTGAAATACTTCTGTTTTCATTAGATTTATGTTTCATTAATGCTTCAAGTACAAAGTACAAACTACAAGTTTTTGTGCTCAAGTAAAAGTATCAAAGTATTTCACTAAAGTAAAAGTAACAAGTACTTTTCAGAAAGTACAAGTACAAGTAAATCGTTTGAATACTTGTACTTGTACTTTTTACTTGAAAAAGTACGGAAAGTCCAAGTACAAATATTTACTTCCTAGCTCGGCTTCTAATGTTATATGAAACACTTCAGCTTTGAAAATAAAATAGTATCTTTTCTCATATTTGTAAAAGAACGAAAAGAGTTGCATAGATATAGATAATATTATCTTGCGATTCATCATTCATATCTTTGTTTCAATGTTCTCGAGAGGCATGATTCATCAAATCTTCTTCTGTGTTGTTAGGTAATTAATGACTTTTTTCTTAATTAATTATAACTAATTTAATGCAATTTTATTATAGTTTATCAAGTATGGTCAAGATTATCTTTCTACATTGAATTTTGAATCTCTATTTAAATACATTTTATTTGTTTAGTTTTGCCATTATTTGTCAAATGTCAGGTTAATATTTGTCCTACAGCAACATGGTCACCAAATGGTATAACAGTAGCTGGTGGTCATAGGTCAGGTTCTGCATTTAATCAATTAAATACTCCTATCGGAATACTTCTTGATGATGATCAAACGATTTTCGTAGCAGATACATTAAATCATCGAATTGTTAAATGGAAAGCAAATGTTTCCAGTGGTTCGTTAGTTGCTGGTGGAAATGGTAAGGGTGATCGTTTGGATCAATTGAATAGTCCACAATATATTGCTATGGATAAAGATAAAGCAATATATATTGGTGATTGGGGAAATCGGCGTTTACAACGGTGGATTCAAAATACACAGAGTGGGAAAACTATTCTAGGAAATATTACTCTTCTTGGTATAACATTTGATAATGAAGGATCTTTTTATCTATCAGATTATATAAATAATCAAGTAACTAAATGGCGTCTTGGTCAAACAACTGGACAGATAATTGCTTTAGGATTAAATATTCCTCGAATGATACGTCTTGATTCATATCGATCTGTTTATGTAGCTGATACACACAATCATCGAATAATGAAATTTAATGAAGGAATTACAAAAGGTATTGTCGTAGCTGGTAGAACAAATGATTCTGGATCAGCTGAAGATCAATTAAATTATCCGAGAAGTGTTATAGTCGACGATTCGGGTAGTATTTATGTAGCAGATACAAATAATCACCGAATAATGCGTTGGTTAAAAGGTGCTACATCAGGTACACTTGTTGTTGGTGGACGTGGTGGTGGTACGGCATCTGATCAACTATTTTATCCTAGTGATTTAATTTTCGATATATATGGAAATCTATACGTTGCTGATACATTCAATCACCGAGTACAAAAATTTCTTATCAATAAAAATTCATGTGATATATTATAAATTATCAATATTTTGTTTTACTTCAGTTAAATAACATTTTCTTCGTTTCTATTTTGAAGTAATTTTTCAAAAATTTGTTTCATTAAATTTAATGGAAATTGACACAGAAAAATATTGGACATTTTTTTTATGAATATCTAAGTAATGAACTGTCTAATTCAACTTCGAATATAAATAAAGACTCAGCTACTTGCCTTAACTTCAAAGATAAATGAATAAAACGAAAGTTAAATCTTTAGTATATAGTAGGATTAGATATAGTTTTGATTGACAGATTTATGGTTCATTAATATATTCTCTTATAGAAATAGGAATTGTTTGAAATCGATAGGAATAGATTTATTTTAGTTTGACTTAATCATAACTCACATATATATGTGAAACTATATTTAAATATGATTTATAGATATGAATAAGTAAAACTATGTCGTTCTTCGGTACCGATTTTATCTTAATGTATATTTTTTAAATATTCACTTATATTTGAACCTATATATATTAGACAGCTACTCGACTCACAATGGACAAAATCGTAGTCGATCTTCAAGTTCCACTTCAGACATTGCAAGTAGCGTCAGTACATGTATCACTCAGCAGAGTGAAGAGAGCGGAAGACATAGTCATTCTTCGACCTTTTGATATGAAGGCTCTGCAAGTACCACCTTCTCTTACTCAAGACGCTGACCCAGGGCGAAATCACCCCACAGGACCCTGAAGGATTCCTAAACAGTCCGACAACATCCAAGAGTCGGATTCAGCAGGATATGACAACAACAACCACTGTATATGGTACTTCCGTTAATTGAGGATCTTGAAGAATTTTTGAGAACTTTCAAGCTCTAGCAACCTTATCATAAGTAAAACTGATCAACATTTTAGGGGAAAGTAGTTTTACAATTTTTAATAAGATCTTCTCTGAAGATCAAGCGACATTTATTGTTAAAATTCCTTGTTGATGATTGAACTTCTAACGGTCAGTTCGAACGTTATATATATGAGTACAGTGCCGTAATACTATAACCTCATTCGAAAATTAAGCCTAGAACTGTTTTGTTCCTAATTTTTTTTCGATTTCAGACTAGAACAAATCGATACAATTTCATTAAAGCAGATTCATCATATTCATTGAAGTTTTTTATTTATTATACAATTGTCCTTTTTTGTCAAAGTAGGTTCATTTTTTAGCATGTTCTTCTTTTACTTTTTAGTATTAATGTATTCGGAAATTTTTGAACGCTTATGGATTCAAATTTCCTTTATGGTACGTAAATTTTAGTTTTACAACAACTGTAAATTCTTTTTGACCACTAAAAATGGTGTTGATTGTTAGAATAATCGCTTTTTTGTTAGGGGTTTTCATTTTTTTTCTATCGTAAAACAGTACTTTCATGTAGTGAAAGAATTATTTTGAAATAAACAGTAAATAATACTAATAAAGCAAATTAAAAATGCACTTATGAACCCAAGAGAAGTCCGGTGGTTCCAGGATTATCCGGATGTCGGAAATCAACGGATCCGACAACTTCCGATCGGATTCCTGTACCAAAGATTCCGACGATTTCCGACCCGGATTTTGTCGGAAGTTATCGGATTCCCGAAGGAACCTGCGGGATTTAGTAGGTTTTTCGACAGGATCCGGAGCCCGGATTACTCGTCTTGGGTAGGTTCCCGACTACTGAATAAAGACGCTTATTATTAGTATTGGGATATACATTCTTGTTTTTTCTTTGTGCGCGCATAAAAGGATACAAGCTATTTTAAAATGGTCGTGTTAACGATAGAATATATATGACGTGTTCCTGTAATAGTTGGGGTTTCCGACTATACGTAAGACATGGCGAGACAAAGTATACGATCAAGCATTTTCTTTTTTAACATGTAACTGTATGCCAAAATTTATTTCGTGTGCTGATAGAAAAGATCAGCTGCTAAGATATTCGGTTCGCATTAACGCTTTTGGTTTTCAACCGTTGTTCAGTAGCAGTCGGGAACCGCGATTGCTACCGTAAAACAGTATAAAGTTCTATAGGGTGTACACGCGTTTTTCCAGGGGTCTTGTCTGTTTGGGTCACTAGCGAACAAAAACGACTTCGACTTTGTACGTTGGTAGGAAGTGAGACAATTATACGTGGCTTGATGAAAATGATCCAGCAAGAACCAGTGTTCATCGGAACAGATCTGAGTTTAGATCAATGTTTTACTTTTTCTTATACATGAAGTTGATAGAGGTATAGAACTATCCATCTCGTACCTATTACTAATAAAATAAGCAAATTCATTACGAACAAATCATCAGTTCGCTCATGATAATGGTCTTTCACATGTTCATCGAGAAGTTGTTAACTATTCAACAGAGGAAGGTAGCGTAACAATTCCACATCCACCGTATTCATCAGATCTTCCACCGAGTGAGTTTTCGCGGATCGTGCAAGCAAAGAATCGCCGACTCAGGAGGTTTCCACCATAGAATAGTGATGACTATTTTGAGCATCTAATAAAATAACCATGTAAATATTTTTTGTTCTTTTCATATTCTAGTTTATGCTGCCAAAATTTCTTTTTGGCTATAGCAATTATGGAATTAATCTAGTAGAGTGTAACACCTGAATCCAGAATCGAGGTGTTCTATTGATTATTAAAGACGAGATCTTATACTGCACATTGTTTTAGAAAACATTCAATATTTACGGTTGTACAAAATTGTAAACATCGGAGCTCAGAATTGTTTGTACGTTCTAAGTTTTATAATAATTCTTGATGGAAAACGTACATTTCATTCATGTGAAAACACTTTCTAAACGTTATTTTCTTCCACTACTTGCATGAACTCACAGGTTATTCATGTATATCCATACCTGCTATGACTTTCAAAATGATCATTTGTGCGTTTTAGTCTTGCATTCTAGAAAAGTGAAATGATTTCATATGACAATTAACTTCTATATTTTACAAGCAAATTATTCCAAGAAAAGAAAAAACAACTATCTGCAGCACATCATTGTGTACACATTTCTCGACGAAGACAAAAAGAAGTGCATTGCAACAACAGAGATATTTTTCATGTTAACTTTCTAGTAAAGCATGCCATCGTGTTATTGTATCACCTTGTGCATTGAGCATCGAATCCCAATGAGCAACTTGAGTATTACCACTGGCACCGTGTCCTACAAGTTCATTAAGTTCAAAGGAACATTTTAGATAAGGGGAAAAAGAACAGAAATTAACTGTACCGAATGATATCCATCCAAGATTTCGATCATGTTTTCCAGTGGAACTTTTATTGATAATCGTAATTACAAGTGTGATTTGATCGAGCAGACTCTCTTGAATGTTAAATGGATAACGTTCAGCAAAAACAGGATGATGTTGAGTACGACGTGTAACTGTGCGATTTGATACCATTTCTACACCATTTGCATTGAGAAGTGTGATCTGAGCAAAAGCGTCTTAAAAAGATGAGGCAAGCCGTATGGTAAAGCTCATTTAAAGACAATAAATAGTTACCCGGTGCTCGTCCTTGTGATGCCATACCGAAATTGATACCTTTTCCTATCTCAAGAATCAGAATCGATTGATTTCTATCATAAGCTAGACCGATTTCAAGTTCGGGTAAAAGCGAGCTACTCGGTCCCGTGCTCGTAATCACAGAATTTTTTCTGGACGGAGCGATGCTACTTGTTCGTGAACGTGAACTGCTTACATCCGAATCATCAGACACCTAAAATAGAGCAGCGTTTAGATGACGGATGTGGTATCGGATATTATACATACGTAAACACGTTCTAATGGAATGATCTTACACATATCTTCATCAAGATTGACTAAACCAAACATGACCGTGGCTTCGGCGAGAAGTTTCTCCCGTTTGAAACGTTCATTTGTGTATAATCGAAACCGGATGCCTTGTGTTTGTATAGATTCTAATCGAAGGGAAAAATTTGGAATAAGTAGATACGATCGAGTTTCTCTTAATGTTACGAACCAGGTGAGACTTTACAGAAGAATTCTTCAGCAAACATCGCATTATCAGCAGGCTTGGCTCGTGTACGAAAACGAATTCGTTTATTCGGCAACATAGTTAGATGTATTTGTACAAGTAATTGTTTTGATGCACGTTGATTCATATCTAATGATGCTTTGATCACGAAAACCCACATCTTACTGTTTTTAGCGTCAAATTTCAAACGAATTTCAAGTGAACCTGATGATAAACTATTATTTGGACTATTAGTCGATATTGAACCTTGATCACTTGATATAGATTTCGTTTCCTAGTAGAAAACGATTCAGGTGAATATCTAATAAGTACTTTTGTTCTTTGAGTGTACTTGATTATTACGGTTAAAAGAAGTAACTAGATTTTCAGGAAATGAGAGTGCTACACTGTGATGAACATTCAGTTAACTCTGAATGAATAAAGCATCGACTTTTATCTATTGGCACAAGATATGCTTGTGTTATCGTGTCGTCTCCGTTCCCTTAGTCATTAACAGATCGAAAGACGTTTTCACAGCTATGAATAATTGATGAACATCAATTCTTACTATATCCATGTGATCGAGCAACATTTGATTCCGTCTTGGTTTTTGTTTATTGTTATATGACAGAGCGGGTGATGATGGAGCCGATTGAGCACGATTTGTCAGTCCACGATTAAGACTCAGTTGTCGTCTTGATGTTCCGATTACATTGGTTTTCTGTCGATCGGTTGTATTTGCATGAGATCGTTTCGCTAAAATCCAATAGAGAAAATATTTAAAAAAAAGAACTTTTCTTTCGTATTCAAATACTGTTTGCAGCCGGTGATTCATTTTCTTTGTTTTCTACAATAATTGGCACTTGTGGTAATTTTCGATTTGCACCATTGACTTGTTTCACCGGCGGTACTAAGGTCGTATAATCATCATCCGGGAGGTCGGTACCTGTAAAATCAAACGAAAAATGAGGTCTAATATTTACGTCTTGAAACGAATTTAATGGATTTCAACAATAATTAAGAAAATATTTTTCATTAAACAAGAATGAGAGAAAGCGAGAGGAAAATGAAAAAACTAATTTCCCCATAGGATTCAAACATTCTTACCACTTCTCATTTACATAGATACAAACCAGACACGAACAATGATTAGATGACATCAATGATAACAATCTTACGAAAGAAAGGATAGTAACACATAGTGGCACGTCGGAAACTAAAGGGCAAACGTTCGAGAAGAACTGATCTTGAGTTTTGATGTGCTTGGAGTTGTGAAGATGTGCGTTTCTTACATCTGCTCACGCGATTAAATAGATGGTACACTTTTTAATACGTCTAGAAAAAAAGATTTATTTATCAGCTAACGAATTTCCGACTCTCGTTCTTTTTTCTACTCTCTTGTCTACCATGCAAAGTTGACGACGAGACTTACCTTGTTTAATTTGCTTTATATCAGTTATTAAACACAATAGAAAACAAAGGTTGTATTTTAGGATTAACTAATGCTTCGATAAACAATAGACGCGTTCAAGCAAATCTTCGTCTGAACTGAAAGCAAGTAGCCATTTCATATTCCGTAGGAGTTTGGATACAAGGAGAATTCGCTAAACAAACTCTCAAACTGAAGCTGGTTAGCACTAGAGAAGAGGAAAGAAAAAGAAGTCAACTGAGGTGTATCTTGCACTTGACGTATCTTTTTATGTACTGGGTAAAAAGAACAGGGAAAGAAAAAAAGTTTTTAGAAGAGAGAGAGAGAGGGAGGGAACCGAAGATGCTTGTGCCTGTACGCAATTCAATCTTTTATCCATCACTTGTCATAGCCAGAAAGTGTATGAAGTAACGCACAAATGGGAAAGAGACAGGAGGAGAAAAAAACAGAAAGCTAATAGTTTGAACCCAAACAAATAAAAGAGAGAAAGAAAAAAGAGAAGAAAACACCAGTCACGACAGGAAATATTGGGTTAGAAAGGCTTGTCATGTGTTAAGATGTAAATAAAAAATCAGTCAGGTAAAAAACCATCTGATGACATGAGAAACAAAAAGTTCATGTAAACGACTTGGCTTACTCGAATCACCAACGAATAACACATCTGATGCTTCGAAGTTTTCGATGTGTTCACGTTGCCCAGCGATCCACAGATGATCTTGAACTTCTGGTAGATTTAACTTTTCTTCTTTGGGCTTATCGACGGGCGCTGCTAGACCGGGTTGAGTTATCATTGAGGTCGGCGCTGAACGTTTAGTTCTCGTAATTTTTCGTAGGAAATGTTTCAAAAACCGATATCGGGCAAAACAACAGAGTTTTTCGAAATAGAGTATCAACACAACGGAAACAATCAACAAAAGAGCAACGAATAACAAAAATACGACTGCTTTCCATAGGACAACTTCTAAAAACAGAATAGATTAAATTTTTGACAGCTTAATTATCTAACAAGAAAATTATGCATATCACTTTTCCGATAGATTTGTCTTTAATTAACTAAATAATATATGAACCTGTCGTCTTTAGTTGCAAAACCGTATATGACAGTTGCACTTTGAACATAAAACAGATCTGAGTTCATAGAAAATGTCAACTGTTTGTCATTGTCATATTTCATATGATAAAATTCATCAACGAAGTGACTCGTCTTGAAAAAAAAACAGTATTTACGAACAGCAGGCAGAACTGATATATTAAAAAAAGATGAATTTAGTCAGATCAACAGTCTGTTTGTCTATTGTCTGACGTTGAGATCTGTCAAACATTGATTTTTGATAAAGAAAGAGCTTAGATATAGTAATCCACTTTCGTTGATTAGTTTAAGTGAAGAAATTCTTATTTATCGTTAAGACAACAATCTCACGAGACTAAGTGCATTTGAATATTATATTAATATACAATTTACCCCCGGTAGATGATGAAGAATCGGTTCCATTTGTTCCGTTCGTCGACATTTTACTTCGTTTTTTTACTAATGACGCCAGCTGTTCGCAAACAGTCCGGTTTATTCAAGTATCACATACATAGGAAGAAGAAAAATTATTGATAAATGCTTTACAGTATGTCGACTGCAGCTCGCATTGTGAGATTTGAAGAAAAGACTTGTATATCAACGAAGTCGATGAGATTTTTTTAGTCTTTATTTGAAATTCTTAATCATTATTGTTATTATAGTATTGATTTTCCTTTCGCACACTTTATACAAAACGAAAGAAATTGCGCAATGTATTAATCCATGAGAATTGAATGCACGATTAGAAAATGATTGATGAACGAAGAGAAAAAACGAAAAGCGATCTGATAAATATAATCGATCTTGATTAAAAACAATCTTTTTTTTTTCGTTATCTTATTGAATGATAGTCACGGGTAAAGAGATATCAAAGATAGACGAGAGAAATTTGTCGAATTTATTTGTTTTCCTAACGAGCGAAATCCCATCGAGATTGATCACGATTATTGGCTGAATCGTCGTCTGAGTGATTGTTTTGACTCTTATTGTTGTTTTTATCGGATGATGCATTTGACCACCACATTGTCGCAGGTAGCTGTTGAGTTGGCGTTGTTGACGATGCAGTTGCTTCAGTAGATAACGTACTCAGATTCCAAAACTTACATATCAAAATCAAAGAGTAAACTTATCATAGAATGAGACTTCGGAAAGAAAATCATTACCGGATGCATGGCTTCTGGTTCGTGTCCATTGGATGACGCACCATCCACTGATAGTGGATCAGGCGTTGGCCAAACTTTCAACCATGGATAGTTGTTTGGCTTGACTAATTCAGTAGCGGATGGTACAGTTGATTGGAATAGTTCGTTCCATGTTGAAGCACGTTGTGTACGTGTGCTTGCACCTAATAAACGTGGCGTAGCCGTGCCTAAGACCGATGACCAGACAGATGAATCTTCTCGTGGTGGTGAGCGTGCTCCTTCATTGATAGGTGTCATAAACTGAAATGGATTTGGTGCTTGTGTTCTTGACGATACATTCGGATTCTGAAGATTTGTTAGTGGCCACGAGGAATCGTATTTAGGCGACCATTCAGTCGGTGAATATGCTGTCCAGGGCATGTTTCCAGCACTTAAATCATTGATTGGCGCAATTGGACCGTTGACAATCGACGTGGTTGACACCGTTGGTGTTGGCGATGAGATTGAGCCAGTGGCAACATTGTTTTGATGATCAAGAAGGCGATTTATGTGGTCGAGCACATCCGGTGTTTCTGGCGAATGAAGCGATTCTGTTGGGTATGATGATATTGATTGTGGTAATGGTATACATGCCAATTTATTTGGACGTTGTATTGGACCTGGGCCGTGTTGTGGAAATGGTAACGGTTCAACTCTAGGAAACGAAAAAGGCGCATTTTGAAGAAAATTAAAGCTTTTTCTAGAATCTCTCAGAAAGGAGACTATTACGATGATTACGATTTAGATAGACGTTGTATCTCTTTCACTTACTCTTCGTTTATGATCGATGAAGGTATTGTTACTTTCTGTGTAATAGTTGCTGGTATGATCTGTGGTGTTACTGCTGATAACGACATCAGTGATGGAATTTCAACAGCTGGTTGTACCATTGCTGCCGCTATAGTTGTTGTTGTTGTTATTGATGGTGAGGATGATGTTGTTGGTGGTATCCATTCATTAATAGGACTTGTTTCTTCCACAGGTGGTTCCACGTGAGGCACGTAGCGACCAAAGTCTATAATAAAAATAAGAAGAGAATTTTTTCTTTATTTTTCGATACGTATCAAGAAGTAATCATTAAACAGTGAACATATATCATATAAAGCACATTAATTAGGTTAGAATAGAATGTGAAAAATAAAATATTTTAGCATGAATCAGTTTAGTATTACTTTACAAAATAGATATCGTCTAGTTTCCTTTATTTCTTTAGCTATTACTACTTGTAATATTAGACGAAGCGTGTGAAACTGCAGAAAATAACACCTGAACGAAAATACCAACACCTTATCGTTAAGAGATTTCTTGCCACTGCATCTGATGGAGCTAATGGCGAATAGTTTCGATGTGTTTGAATGAGGAAAGCAAGCGCGATCAATAGTTATACAAGCGGTAAGCGTGTCAACATATGCATGTAAGATAGTCGAACGTTAAGTATAATATTTATATGTCGTATTATTTTTCTGCTATTATTACCCTCATCAGGTTTATCTGGGTCATCCCAATCGATGATACTTTCGTCTTCAACATCATAGCTATTGTTCCATTCGATTTTAATCATTTCATCATCAGCACCTCCGCGTTCAGAAGGCGGCGCTGATGAACAACGGGAACGAACAGACATAGAGCACGTCGTCGCTGCTGAAGGCAATCCAGCCGCCCATAACTGTTCAGTCAACTGACGAAATGCCAGTTCACGATTTTGAGGACTAATTGGTGTATTAGATGAAAAATCTCGTCTTTTTGATAGAAAAGGAATATGAGTGGGTGATGAAGGGCGAGCCGCACGTCGCCCTCGGCGGCGACGCGACTGTGACACTTGATTATAAACAGAAGCGTGTGCACGAGATGATGTCATCGCTGATACCATTGGATGTTCTACAAAAGAAGTCAATTCGAAACGAAACAACATCAAACAGAAGTAGAGAAGGAGACGAATATAGAACATTCATACAAAGATATGCATAGACACAGATGCCATGAAAAACAAACTCTCGCATACGATAGAATAAGTAGGCAGGTTCTTACCAGGATTATTTGATACTGCCTTATTTGTTTTGCCCGTGGTCGATTCGTCCGGTGTTTCGCGTCGATGTGCAGCTGCCGTAGTTCCTTTGCGTATATTTCGATTTGAACCAACCATATACCATTGTTGACCATTGATCGAATCCGTTGATCGTGATATTTCTTGCTGATGATGTCTCTGGTCGGAAAGTTCAGAGCGTGCAGTTGGTTTCGATACTCCTGTCGGCAAAGAGGGTGCGGGCTGTGTTAGTGGAGGTGTTGTTTGAGATGAAACAGTACCATTGACTCCTGGTGTTGATTTGGCCGGTGTAGAACTCGAAGTTGAAGTTGACTCTTTTATCTTACTGGTCACGCGTTTTGGTCGAGCAGGCTACACAAGCAAACAAATGGAAAACTCTACTTTTCTTCAATTATATTGTCAAAACATACAACAAATGGTTCATTTTCTTCGTCAGTTAACGAAGTCGATGGGGGAGTTGTTGAACATGGTGTTGAGGCTGTTGATTGTTCTGTATTTGGTGATTTCGATGCTTTCAATGGTTGTGATCTGATGATTGTTTCTAACTGTTGTTTTGATGACTAAAATTAGAAAAAGAAAGTCTCAACTTCGTTCATGTGATTAAATCTCTTGTTTACTTTGCCAGCTAGTCCATTTTCTGTTGTTACTCGTTTATGTTTGTGTGCCATTGCTTTTGGACTAGTTGCCACTGACCGAACACCTGTATTCGAGACATCTGATGTTCTTGATGGCTATAAATTTAAAACGACAATGGAGTCGATGTTCATCAGAAAAATATCTATTTACTTTCGACGATGTTTCACCATTTTCTTTGCTCCCGTTTGTTGATCCATTTGAACGCTTCGGTCTCATATCGTTTTCTTTTGCTTTGTTTTCATCCTTCGATGCATCTTTCTTATTATTTGCTGTCTGCATTCCCGTACGCGATTCAATTCGTTCGCTACACGTACGCAACAGTGCATCTTTCATACAAAATATTTCTAATATCCTACCGAATTCGTTGTTCGCTGCTCACACCTTCTGTCAATTCGTTCAGATCAAATAATCTTTCATTCGCTGATGGCATCCGACAACGAAGTTCTACTCGAGCCAAATACTAAAACATGAAACAAAACAGGAAGTTCACAATGCAAGGAAAGAATCATCGAACTGAATTACATCGTTATATAATCGATGTGCTTCGTACACAGCGACCACCACAATGTATACTAGCATGAATAAAGTTGAACCCAAACATAAGTGGTAAAACTGTGTTTCCCACACAGGTCGTGGAATTGTTTTATAGCACGTCGCCAGAACACGTTGTGGAATACGCACAATAAGCGGAAAGGTCATAACACCGATATTGGTATTCAATATTAAAGTTTCAGCTATTTCAGTCAGCGTGTAGTCAGGTTGAAAACTAAAAACAATCAAAGGGTGAATTGAATAGCCAGTCACATCTATCTTGTCCTTACCGAATTTGAAGATCATAACGTTCATTTGGCTCAATTTCGATTTCCGAACAGGATATTACGGAGAAGCCTTGTCCACTACATTTCGAATGGCCAAATGATATATCGTGGATAATAGCTCGTATGTTTCCCGTATTACGTAGGGTGACCATTTTCACAAGAATTGGATTTCCACGAGAGGTCTCTGTTGAAGGATAATCTGTAAATGGGAGGAAAGTAGAAAGAAATTGTTTTATTTGCATTTTGCTGCGACATACTTGAACAAAGTTTATATTGTTTTTCATTCATTTCCAAAACAAGAGGTATGTCAGATGAGCCAGCGTTCCGGTTACCGACAGTTAAACTACCGCTACCACCTTCACCACGCAAAAGAATCGATTCCAATATCGTTAAATTATTTCTAAAGAAGCAATTCAATCAATCAATTGAGTTCATTTCAAAGAAGAACGACATACCGAACAACAAAGTAAATCTCGTGTTTCATTGAGTGCTTCGGTCGATATGACGCAGTAAAGGTCATCTGTTCATTAGGTGCAAGAGTAAATCTGTAGATTTCATCGGACAATTGTACACGTTTGGGTGTCTAGAAGAAGTTTAAGCAAAAGTAGTTCACATCGCAAAGATCTATTCGGCCGAAAATATACCGTCGAAATATCGAATACTTGTTGATTAGGGGCTGACATTCGTTTACTTCCTGTTTTCTTGTTATCATAACCACTGATCAGTTCAACTGAATATTGAAGTGGACCTGATGACGGGTTTGTTATAATAATATTATGTGTCTGATAGGAAACATAGATGAAGAATGGAAGAATATTTATACATCATTTACTTTGGATGTATTTAAAAGCGTCAGATGATAATCGATAACCACAGGTGCACGAGAGGTCGCTGATGTCATGAATTCAAGCACCGATGGCCAAACGAATCCAATCTTTACTGGCCATGAGACTTCAGCTTGATCTGTAATAAGCCAAACATTTGTTTGTATTCTAAATTAATTGGTTTTGATATAAAACAAAGTTTGTTCTTGTCAAATTTTCTCCTACCGTTGCTTTCGAACGAGTGATGTCCATTCTTTCCAAAGATTTCGAAATTTTGCGACTAACACATCATCAAGTTCCTGTGTATCCAACGCTGATACATGTTGATCCCATCGCTTCTTAAATTCGGGATGATTATTCAAACCGCAATAACATGTCGATTCCGATGGCACCTGAATACTATTACATAATGGTAACATATCAAACATTAGCTTTCCGATCTATGATAAGACAGAAATAATTCCGAATTCGGTCTAACAATTGGCACATACCTGATGACTCTTCTTCGATCCAATGATTAATTTATTTGATGATGTTGTATTCCAAATAAATGAAAAACAGTTACCATATGTTGGAAATTCCATACGTGTCACATCTGTTGGCTGATCAAAACCGTTGTATAAAGTAATATTTGTCGAGCCCACACGATTCTACGTATTCGAAAACATATGAATAATTCTTTCAAGAAATCTTTTCACGGAAAACGATTTCCTACCGGGAAAACATCGATATACAGTGGTTTTGTATTTTGAAGAACAACTGATCCACTAATGATACGATATTTCATGCACATCGTGAGAGTCTATCGAAAAGCAAGAAATGCATGTAAATACCGAAAGTTAGATTTTACTCACTTCATAACGGGTTTTGAACGTAATCATCTCTTTATGCAAGGAAGGATTACTCATACCATTGATTGTCAACGAGAATATCGCTTGATGGTGAGCAGGAATGACAATCTTTAAAATAAACCCGTACAACTCTTCAATATTCGTTTTTCATTTGAAACAATTTACCTCGATGATTTGACCATTCTGATAAATGCTTTTGAAAACTGTATTTGTTTCACTGCCGTTCATCGAAAGCATCTGTGCAAGTTGAAGCGTTGATTTTGGTAACGTGTGGGATATCGTTTCGATAGATATTTCTACTGGATTTGCATTTTGTAATACGAATTTCACTGTACGGGATGTATTCACCGGGATACTTGCGATAAAATATTCGGATGGATTCGTATCATTACGTCGAATACCACCATTGTTACTATCCACGACGACTTGATGCTAAACAGAAAAGCCACATTTCATTCGTCGTGCTAAGTTTAATTTCGGTCAGACAAGAACTTACACCCAGTAATCCATTGTATAAATACAAAGGTAAATGGAAATAGGATAGATTCGTATGTAATGTAAGTGATGCTTCCAGGCTGTTGAATGGTGCACGTAATACTGATGATTTAATAACACTGATGCATACTGGAAAAACTGTCTGACCTGGACTTGCATAGATAAAGGGTGAAAGAATATTCAGCTATGAAATAGAAATCAAATTCAATAGATCTGAGAAAGAGATTTTTCGACAAAACAATTTACCCGAATATACTGAGAAAGTAATTCTGCTTTATCTGTTGTAACGCTATAGATGACCACCGATGAGTTAAATCGATTCAATAGTTTTATTGCTCGACATTCTTCCTTATTATCATTAGATGAATCGATTGAGGATGATGGAATGTAAAAAAAACTTGCAGTTCGATCGTAATCGAGTGAACCATGTAATACAGTTGTGCGAAATGGAATCTGTAAAGTCGGTTCGTCGTTAGTCCGTGCTGGTAGTGTATAGACTTGAACTGAACCTCGCACACGTTTGATTTCATTCGGAATTAACTGTGGTTGAATGGTCAAATCTGCTATTTTGGTCAGTTGATGAAGGCCAGCTGGTACTTGAAGTTTCTCATAATTAACTATCAGGTGATTTATATTCACTGTTGCCACCCGAACATCCTACACATTTAATTCAAAGTATTCAATTCTGTCCTAGAACTTTTCGAGCAAGATACTTTCTGCATCGAGTGCAAAAAGGCATTTAATTCGGTCAAGTACTCCACAACACCTTGAGTATCGACTGTCTTGTTTCTCTCTCAATAAATCTCTGTGGCAACTAATTTCACTTGTCGTAGCCTGTAAGCAAGAGGATTTTAGTTGAGCAAATATGAAATAATTATCTTCGTGACCTAATCTTCTACCGAATACTTTGTTTTTACTCGTAAACGAACTAACATAAACAATACAAGTTTTTCTGCACATAATTCAAGTGCTTTTCTTTTTTATGTTTTTTTTTCGATGACTTGAAAGCAAGCAGATTGTCTCTGCTAGGAAATATAGAATCTTTTCATGGCCTAGGAATGCAAGATGTCTTCGACGTAACTTACAGTTATAGTCACCGGAGTTTTTCCATTATTGATAACATATATTGGTATGCGTATTGGTCGAGCTGTTGAACGTATAAAATTCTCCGGAGAAAATTCTAAGATATCAACATTTGAATAGAGACTCTGTTCATCGGAGACGTTGATTTCAACAGGCACAACAATTGTATCATTAGAATTGGTCTTAATACAGTAAAATCCATGTAGACGCTCTAACTTATATGCATAATAATTGATTTTTATAATCGGTTTCATTTCATAAGGTTTCATATGCCATTGTTGTTGATGTTCAAAGCTCTTGACAATCTTATTTCTCTGTTGCTTATACGATAAGAGTTCAATAAACAAATTTTCATCACTTGTAAAAATTTCGTTGATATCTATCGAATGATTGTATGGATTATAGAAATGTACTGTATATTCAAACGTTGAATTCAAAGGTATATTTGCACCAATTAATGGACGTATGTGAAATGGACTGAGCGTACCGATACCATTGACCTTAAAGAACGAAATCAGAGGAAATTTATTGTGATAAAAGTAGGGAACATTCCATTTACATAATAATGCACAGTGCCACGGTCGGTTTTGATGGTAAATATACTCTTGGTGAGTCCGAGCGTTCGTGGGAGATAGTAAACATTGATTGATGTATTTCCACCATTGGCCGAAAGAGTTTTCTGAGTGAAAAAAGATGAGTAAAACTGAACTGTTGCACCAGATAGTGATTGTAATTCAACAGGTTGAGAATTATCATTTATGATGACAACTGTCTGCATACGTGGCATCGCCATAGCTCTACAAATTGTTTCATTTACTCAGTTAATTGTCATGTGACTAGTGCAAGCTTACTGTGCACCAAAATCTAACAACGGTGGAATAAATCGTATTGATATCGATGAAGACGATGCGGTTGCAGAAGCCGTGATTGGTGATGATGATGTGCAGTTATTCGGATTCGAAATGTCATTGGAATCTTTCGGTTCAATTGACTTCTCATCAAGGATTTCTTTTGACTGTTTATAATCCTCGTCAAATGATGTTAACAATGCAATCAGCAATTCTTTTTCTTCGTTATCATCGGAGTTCTCTTCGATGTTCTAGGATAGAAGCAACGAGCGAAAAATGACAAACTCATCTTCAAGTCAATGCTTACAGAAAATCGTGGATCAGATGATTTCACAACATGAATCGAATCCGTTGATAACTGGATGATTGCTAAAGTAAACAGATAGATGTAAGAGAAACTCAAGTGAAGACCATTCTGCAAACCTTCGTTGTCATTATTATTCAAGGAATTAACAATGGTTAGAAATGCTGTGTAGATATGTAATAAAAAGAGAATATGTAAAAAATAGAAAAGACTATTTGTTGATTGTTGATTTGTTCGTAGTCGAATTGAAACCATTTTGTTTATTCTAATTGGTTGTTATGTGATTGATAACGAGTTTTTGTTCAAAAAATGGAAAATAAAATATCATCTAGGAAGTAAGAACAGACGCATTGATGAAAGAATTCGAATTAAAATGCGATATCGTCGGCAAGACTGGCCTGGAGGATCGAAACGAACAAAAAAAGACAAACGCAAAAAGAGCATCGATGCGGAACAACACAAGGTAAATATATTAGTATGTGAGTACGTTTACATGTGTTGTGTTCTGTTTGTGTGCGTGTTGGCTTGGGAAAACTTCTTGTTCGATGCCGATTGGAGTAGATGAAACAGCCAATTGAGGAAAGATATTTGACAGATGGCAAGAATGAGGGCGCTAGTTAATTACTAGTTAGTTTAGTCATCATTTCGACTAGATGCGTACGTACGTGTCTATGGATACAATCTGTCAAGGACAACAAATGCAATATTTGAGGAAGAATGAGAGAAAACGACGAGAATTTTCAAAGGCAAAAGAAAGAGAAAGTACATTGTTTTCTCTCGACAATGTACTTTTCATTTTTAATGCGTAATTTTATTTTCCATGGCTTAACAACTAACTCGATGAGATTTCGTGTCTATTTTTTTTATTAAAGCGAATGTACTTTATTGTTGAACTAAGCCCATCATGTCTTGCCGTCCGACGGTGATGATTTAATAGACTTACACTTCAAACAATGCTTGTTTAAATACATACAAATGTTTGAAACTAGTATTTGATGATGAAAACATGTAACCTTGTATTGTTTGCATTTCGAATACTCTCCTTATGGTCTTATTATTGTTCCTTTCAACACAATACTCAACATCAAATCGTCATTTAAGTAGTTCTGAGAAACCTGCATCAGATCTCGCCGATTTTTTTCTGTCTGAAAATCTTCAGAGAAAAGAATGTTGAGTGTCACCTACTGACAAACATGTATATTTGATAACTATTCAAGTATCTTTACAATTACTCTGATGAATATTTCTCATTTCAGGCAAATTGCTTAGTTAGTCCTTGGAAGCCAAACTTACCATCGGTAAGAGAGAAGCGAAATGTATATTTTTCTCGCTGAGACACTTTTTTTTTTCATCAAGTAAAAGGAAATCAAATTAAAGTCAACATTAGGGCGTGTTCAAGGCTAACGATGTTACTGAGTTTCTTACCATGTCAATTGCACTTCAAATCTTTAAAACAAATACCGTCCGACGCAGATCATACCGATCGACGATGAAAAACGTGAAAAGTTTAAGATGTACATACTGCTGTTAAACAATTAGAGGGAATATGGCGTCTTCTCATCATATCGATCGAAAATATTATATATAACAAGCGAATGATTAGAGTATCGATAGCTTAAGATAGATTTCATTACAAAACAACGGAGAGAGAGAGAGCGAAACTTGAGATGGAATGTCAAATAATTGATTAGATTCATAAATTTAAAAAAACACGAACTAGCTGCACGTTTGTGATTCATAACTATTTGAACCAAGGGGGAATATAGTGATTTCCAGGCAAGAAACCAGCTGAAAGTCAAGAAAAATCGCTATTTTATATAAAAGGCACAGCTGACAAGTGGGAAACAGTTCACAGAAGCTAAAAACGATTAAAAAGGGCTAAAACACTTAGAAGTCGATGGAAATCAATGAAAAACATATGCACTCGTAAAGGAGTCACCTATATTCAGATCAAAAACGAAATTTTGATTTTTAATGATTTCCAAGAGACTTTCCTGATTTTTCGATTCTCGATAATTTTTGGTATTTTTACCCAAAAGGTTTGACTTTTTACAATTTCTTGTCGATTTTATATGTTATTAACAGTTTTTAGTAATTAATGTTTAGTTTTCATCAAGATAATAAAATTGATTTCGATTAGTGGAAATCAACTGAAAGCACGAGAAATCACTTTGTTCCTCTTGTGTGTACTGCAAAAAGTGTATGACACAGACGACAGGAAAGTCATAGAGAGATATCAGTATTTTTTAATAACTCAAGAATGGCTCGTTCAATCAAGCTCATCATAGAACTCGAACGAGATATTCATATGACAATATTCTCCGGAAAACTTCATCACAATCGGATTAGTCTTTCAGGAATAATCATGTAAAGTAATCATTGGACGGACACCTTATTCATTCGACTACTTCGTTCACGTTTCCCATGTATCAGACAAAGTTAGTAGTTTCACGTCTCTTGCCCATAACATGTTACTAACACTTTCACTATACTCAACTCAAGCCTACTAGTTAAATAATGAATAAGTTTTCATTCATACGGGACAATAGAATCTCTGGAACTAATTCCTCGCAACGATCTATGGGACAAAAAGAAAACATTCATACAGCATACGAAGCAGTTTCCTACCGTGCTCAAGAACGAATTTCACAGACGGTCTGAAAAAAGTCCAGCGATCGTTAGTTCCATTGTTCGAAGTAGACATAGCATTCTTAATCGACTTAGAAACGACCGCCTTTACTTGTGTGTTTTCGACCATATACATAGAAGTGGGTTCGCCACACTTTGCCGACAGGTACAGTCTGTCAAAAATCATTTTACCGACAATCACTTTGCTGACAGATCTTTTAGTCAAAAACTCCAACAGATTCAATGCTTTTCGTAACCAAATCCTTAGGGAACTGATACAACAGCCGTTTTTAACCAAACTTTGCCATAGCTACGATATTCTCATCTAAATATTCCGCTACACCTTCACACTATTGTTAATGCGAAAGGAATACTGAATATTCAGTTTTGTTTTTCGACATGATATGTAATCGGATTGTAGATCGATATGAAATCTGCTGATTTTTGTTTATGTTTGACAAGCTGTTTGAATATTGAATGTTTGACGTCAAAATCTTATTTCATAAGAGAAGAAAATTACTGAGCGATTTGGAAGAGTATTTGGTTATACTTAAATGTGCAATGCATTTTTAGTCATGATTATATGCTATTATGCTAAAGGTTCACAGGAAAATGAACTCAGCCACAAAGCATAAATAGTATTCTGCTTCATTATGGTTAAATCAAACACGATATTGGATTTATTATGTATCACATGTATCTACTTCATCAAAGAGCTCATGAGAACCCAGAGTTAATAACAAAACCAGAATAAGAACAATACATCACATATAATACTATGGTGGTTATTTATTAGATTATCATTTTATTTTACCAATACATATGTTAATTTGAGCGGGGAATTTGAAAGGGCGTGCTAATCATTTGAGATCTTTTGAGATAATAACAGTATAACCGTAAGCGAGCACTTCTTTCGTACGGTATTTTGACAATTGAGAAATGAGTTTAAAATATTTTTCAACAGCATTTACGAGAAGTTCGCGTAATGTTCGATGAGAACCATTCAATTTTAAACAAAGAATCACTTACAAAGTAAACATTTACGAACAATTATATCAGTCTGCCGAGTAATCGGATGCAGACAAATATTCTCCATCGCAATCAGTGATAGGCTTTCATCATTTCTCTGCTGATTAGTTATCATAATGTTGTAAAATTTCTTTGCACTTGAATACACATTAATGGGCAAAATATTTTTGAACGATTTAAAATCCGAAAATACGAGAAAATACCGGTTCATATATTCGTAACCGTTACGGAAATGTGATCCGTGTCAAGGAATCAACTGGAACCGTATCGGAAGCGGATAGCCGGATACGAAGTTAGATTCCTAATTGCAGGAAATCATTGATTCTGCCAGTTGCTGTCGTACAGTTTTGACATGGGCACTTAGGCCTTCCTCCACACGCTCGCCTAGACCTTCGCCTACACCCTCATCTACATTCTGATCCTCAAAATAATGGTGACCACACAAAATGCATTTGTCACCAAAATGTACCCCTGTCGACAATATGATTGTGACCATATTAGAATGTTGTTGGAGAATAATTTATGACATTTGAAATATTTACTGATGACTTTCCCTTTATTTGGTTGAACCTATGTCGTCCAAGAATACGGTTTTTCCTTTCTTTATTCTACTTTTATTTATTTCAAAATTTTCCGATCAAAATCATATATCACGTCGTCCTGATATATTTTATGTGTCAATTAATGAGACTCCGAGAAATGGCTACTCTATAATTTTATTTGAATAAACAAATTAAACATATACAGTACATATAAAACGGTATTTCAAGCCACTAATATTTCATTTCATCACAATGTTATTTATTGGCAAGCTCATTTTAGTTGCATTTCCGTTCATCATTGCAGAAACATCAGGTACATTATTAGAAGATTATAAATCTGTTTAAATTTCTATCATTTTCACATGAACAACTAATCTGAACAAAGATACTTTAAACATTCATTTTCTGCGTTCTAGGTAGTTTTTATAATCAACTAAGGTTTGCATCAAATGCGTCATGGAACGCTAATGGTATCACTGTTGCTAATAGTACTTTGATTGGATTGCATCCTTTTGATATTTTCATTGATAAAAATAACACAATCTATGTTCCTAAACAAGATTCGAAACAAATCATTCTTTTATTCAAAGGAAACTTAACATCAACAAGAAATGTCTCTGCTAATTTATCGAATTCATTAACTATTTTTGTCAAGACATCAGATGATATTTATGTTGATACATATTATTCGATTGGTGGTATTAGTCGAATAACATCAAATTCAGCAATTCCAATATCAAGAATGAATTTATGTTATCAATGTTCGGATATATTTATTAGTCAAAATGATCTTCTCTATTGCTCATTTACTGAAAATCATCAAGTTCTAGCTAGTTCATTGATTACTAGTTTGGATCCATTATTAATTGTTGCCGGAACAGGTAGTGTTGGTTCAACATCAACTACGCTTCGAAATCCTCTTGGAATATTTGTTGATGATACAAATGACGATTTATATGTTGCTGATTGTAGAAATAATCGAATTCAATTATTTAAATCAAAAAGATTAACGGCCACAACTGTAGCTGGAAGTGGGTCAATCAATGTGACAATCGATCTCAATTATCCAAGTGGAATTGCATTAGACAGTAGCAGCTATTTATTTATTGTTGATACGGGAAATAATCGTATTATTGCTGAAGGATTAAATGGTTTTCGTTGCATAGTCGGATGCACGAATTCATCTGGTTCAGCATCGAATCAACTAAATAATCCTTGGAGTTTATCTTTCGATAGTTATGGAAATCTTTTTATTAGTGATCAAGCAAATAATCGAATACAGAAATTTAATTTTGGTAAGTTTAAAATATGCTTCGTATAGATGTGCGTGGAAAATTGATTTTCCAAAGCTCAAGAACATCTTGATAATCTGAATTAGACTTTCTTTGTAATAGTGTCAAGTTGTTATGATGGAATTAAGAATCAAGATGAAACTGATATTGACTGTGGTGGTTCAAATTGTTCAAAATGTCCACTCACTAACACTTGTTTACTCAATTCGGATTGTTACATCAACGAATGCGATACAACATCGTACACATGTCAAGGTATAAATAGTCATTCTCTACTATCGGGTATTTTGTTGTAGTGATTTCGTCGCTAGGGAAGTTAAGATAACTACAATATATAAAAGCTGAAAAATGATCCCAAATGATTTTAATTCTAATCTGTCTTCTCTGATTACTCTTTAAAGGAAGTTTTCTAGTGTATAGAATCTGACGAAATCATAATGAACTTCAGTGATTCTATAGCTTCTTTCTATGAGTTCCAATGATGCCAAACTGTAATAATTGATAGTGCCATTGTTTTACTTACAAAATTTATCCAAAGATTCAACACTGTTTATTTTCGAAATCGAGATAAAATAGATCAATTTAATGATCTGAAATTGATTTAGATTGACGAAATCAGTGCAATATCCTTTGTCCAGATCACAACAATTTTCTGGCACAAATATCGAGTGCGTTGATTCAGCTTATCTAAAGTCTTTCTTCTCCATTCTAATATTATTGAATGAGTGTTATATTCAATTGTAAAATTTATTTTGCCATTCTAGCGACGTCTGGTATTGCGCGAGGTGGCCAAGGTGGCTCCATTTTTAGCGATTTAGATGTGGTTGGTTTGTACGGACGAACCTTTCCAATATCAATTATTTTAAGATGCGGTAGCTATATCGATGCCATTCAAGTGACCTATGAAACGAGTAACCAAACACAAGGTTCAGTAATTACACAAGCGCCAAGAAGAGGTGGAACTAATACAGGTCCACATCAATTCGATTTACTTCCTGGCGAAAGAATTGTGAAAGTTAACGGACGTAGTGGAACATATGTTAACGGCTTACAGTTTACCACGAGTACAGGAAACGTAAGCGCTTATTGTGGTGGTTCTGGTGGCACAGCATTTACCGAACAGTATTCTGGCTATGTTTTATCATATATATCTGGCCGCTGCGGAAGTTGGTTAAATCAAATACAGTTTCATTGGATTCCTGCGTGAGCGTAGAATGGACGAAAGTGACAACGAAAATGTAGGTGCATGTTGTCGCAGACATTATTTCCATACCATGCATTTGCTTTTTTCTTCTTTTGTTTTTGCTTTCGATTCACCTCAAACTAAATATATGCGTACAAGTTTTGTTCTCATAATCCTTGATGGTGGGTGATTGTAAGCAGCCATGACTTGTTTCAAACTTATCAAGGGTTTCGTCCGATGGCTGAATACCGTAGGATGATTGAATCAATATCAAAGGCAGATACTCTATTAGAAGCATAATTTCGACTAAAGATGAATTGTTTGTAGTCAGCAAACAGTTGATATGTCAATGATGAGTCTTACCTGAGTCTCAAGATGGTTCATAAAATGGCGGTTTTGATTATTATTAATATAAATGCGGAAACTTCGGATTTTATTCGAAAGTCATGTGTTCAAGGGGGAACAAAATGATTTCCAGGCAATAAATCAGCTGGAAATCACTAGAAATCAAAAATGCTATTGGAAATCAAGAGATCACTTTGTTCCCTCCTTGGTTCGAACAAAATCCGCGCGCGCGAAACTGAACGACGATGAATCATACGAACAATCATTAGTTGTCTGAAGTGATTAACCGACGAGAGAAGAACATTTGTAAACCATCGTATGATATGGAGGAATTGGCAACGTTTTCGTTGAATGGCTCTGTCATATCACCATCGGTTTCTCACCAAACTCCGATTATTCTTCTCCAATATTCTAACATGCTATGATCCTGTATGTTTTCTTCGATTGCGTCACTGAAGAAAACGAAAGATCATGTGTTTTAGTTTGGCGACAAGCTTCTTGAACATTTCCGTTTGAATCCATATTACCCGTTCGTACCGACACAGGTATTGACCTTCGAATATCGATATCGTCGTTGGTCGACCATCTATTTCTTGACTCTTCTTCAACTAATCATTGTATTTCTAACTGTCTATACCTATTTTCGTTTTCATACGGATGAATATTGGAATTCAGGTTCTGATTTTCTGTTAGCATTCTTGTTCGCATTATTAACCGTATTTGTATGTTTAAATCTATTAGAAAACTTTCAACAACGACGAATCATTCTCTCTCCATTGGATTTTCACGTCTCTATCTACTTAAACGACCAACTAATACGAAAATGTTCGATCGATCGTGCATATATTTGTCTACACAAAATACAATCCTATGACGTTATACTCTATCACATTGTATTTATCATTGAGGACATCGATTTCATCCAAATCACTGATTACTTCACTCAACAATTGCAACTGAGACAAATTGGGAAGCGTTTAGCAGAAAAACTATTTCTTAGCTACATCGAAAGTGACAACTGGATAGGAATCTTTCCAAAATATCACAAATTGCAAACCTATACCAATTTTGTACAAAGGAAAACTAGCATCAACTTGCGATAATATTCAATCTTAACTTTTTTCCTATTTGTTTTCCTTTCTGCTTATATGAAATGCTAAACGCAGTCAAACTATTCGATGTATGTCTGTTTGTTCACAGAAGAATGTATGTGTTTGTGATAAACAACAAAGAGAATATGTAAATGAAATGAGTTTGAAAATTTGCACATCAATGTGCAGCATAATTTGCATATGTGAATGTTACTTAAGATGTTTAACTTCGATAAGGATGTCAGTGTCAATGAGTAGTGAAACAGTTCATTGATACCATAGCAATGTTTGGATTTACTAGTGAAAAAAGACAACAACGACAGGAAAAACATAACGAATGCTCTAGATTAGAACAAAAATCAACAAGAAAAGGCAAAGAAGAGCAAGGTGAACTAGTTTAAACGTTTACAGTACAGTTTGTTTTCAGAGACAAAAGAAGAAACACAAGAGACGAGAAAATAAGATTTCAAATGTGCACAACAAGAAAAACATTCAAAATCAATAATCGGTTTCATTTGGTTTAGTAAATCTACTGACATAGGAATATTAAAAAACCGAGAAAAAGTAGATACCATACATATTTCTTGAATAGAGACAAAACTTTTCGAAAAACTACATCAAGAATATTTGTAAGAAATATTTTACACATAAAGAACATATCAAGAAGCTTTGTTCGAATTTTTATTTGACGCTGACCACTTTTTCAGCAACAACCTAAATGGAACAAAGAGGAAAGAGGTTTTTCAGAGAAGATATTCAAATATTTGATACGTACGCGTCCATCCGAATCTTCTAAGATTGTTTTTTTACTTTCATTACCAGTAGTAAACCATTTTGTTGTGCGTAATTTCAAGTTTGTCGGCGGATCAACCGGAATATCATTGACATCCGAACTCCAAATCTAGAAGAGATTTACATATGTATCATTCAAGAAACTGTACCACTGCGATTATATCTTACCGTTGCTGTTGCTCCAGCTTTCAAATTCATTCCTTTTGGAAATTTAAATTCATAATTTTGTGCACCAACTTTGCGTTTGAGAATCCATCCATTCATTGCTACATCTTGTTTGGAATTATTGAGTAATTTGACAAATTTCGGTTGCGAACTTTCATCATCAATTATATTGATTCCGTCGATCAATTGCGTATTGACTGATGGATGATCATNACTGATCTTGAGTTTTGATGTGCTTGGAGTTGTGAAGATGTGCGTTTCTTACATCTGCTCACGCGATTAAATAGATGGTACACTTTTTAATACGTCTAGAAAAAAAGATTTATTTATCAACTAATAAATTTCCTGCTGTCGTTCCTTTTTCTACTCTCTTTTCTACCATGCAAACTTAACGACGAGACTTACCTTGTTTAATTTGCTTTATATCAGTTATCAAACACAATAGCAAAAATGGTTATATTTTAAGATTAACTAGTGCTTTGACAAAGAATAGACGCGTTCAAGTAAATCTTCGTCTGAACTGAAAGCAAAAAGCCATTTCATATTCGATAGGAGTTTGAATACAAACAGAATTCACTAAACAAACTCTCAAGTAGAAGCTAGCTGGTTAGCTCAAGAGAAGAGGAAAAGAAAAAGAAGTCAACTGAGGTGTATCTTGCAGTTGACGTATCTTTTTATGTACTGAATAGAGAGAACAGGGAAAGAAAAAAAAGTTGTTAGAAAAGGGAGAGGGAGGGAACAGGAGATGCTTGTACCTGTACACAATTCAATTTTTTATCTATCACTTGTCATAGTCAGAAAGTGTATGAAGTAAAGCAAAAACGGGAAAGAGACAGGCGGAGAAGAAAACAGAAAGCTAATAGTTTGAACCCAAACAAATAAAGAGAGGAAGAAAAAAGAAGAGAAAAACCAGTCACGACAGGAAATATTGGGTTAGAAAGGCTTGTCATGTGTTAAGATATAAATAAAAAGTCAGTCAGGTAAAAAATCATCTGATGACAAGGAAAACGAAAATTTCATGTAAACGACTTGACTTACTCGAGTCACCAACGAATAACACATCTAACGCTTCGAAGTTTTCGATATGTTCACGTTGCCCAGCGATCCACAGATGATCTTGAACTTCTGGTATATTTAACTTTTCTTCTTTGGGCTTATCGACAGGCGCTGCTAGGCCGGGTTGAGTTATCATTGAGGTCGGCGCTGAACGTTTAGTTCTCGTAATTTTTCGTAGGAAATGTTTCAAAAACCGATATCGGGCAAAACAACAGAGTTTTTCGAAATAGAGTATCAACACAACTGAAACAATCAGCAAAAGAGCAACGAATAACAAAAATACGACTGCTTTCCATAGGACAACTTCTAAAAATAGAATAGATTAAATTTTTGACACCTTAATTATCCAACAAGAAAATGATACATATCATTTTTCCAATAGATTTGTCTTTAATTAACTAAATAATATATGAATCTGTCGTCTTTAGTTGCAAAACCGTATATGATAGTTGCACTTCGAACATAGAACAGATCTGAGTGCATGGAAAACGTAAACTGTTTGTCATTGTCATATTTCATATGATAAAATTCATCAACGGAATGGTTCGTCTTCAAAAAAATCAGTATTCACGAACAGCAGGCGGAAACGGTATGTTAAAAAAGGATGAATTTAGTCAGATCAACATTCTGTTTGTCTATTGTCTGACATTGAGATCTGTCAAACATTGATTTTTGATAAAGAAAGAACTTAGATATAGTAATCCACTTTCGTTGATTAGTTTAAGTGAAGAAATTCTTATTTATCGTTAAGACAACAATCTCACGAGACTAAGTGCATTTGAATATTATATTAATAGATAATTTACCCCCAGTAGATGATGAAGAATCGGTTCCATTTGTTCCGTTCGTCGACATTTTACTTCGTTTTTTTACTAATGACGCCAGCTGTTCGCAAACAGTCCGGTTTATTCAAGTATCACATACATAGGAATAAGAAAAATTATTGATAAATGCTTTACAGTATGTCGACTGCTGCTCGCATTGTGAGATTTGAAGAAAAGACTTTTATGTCAACGAAGTCGATGAGATTTTTGTAGTCTTTATTTGAAATTCTTAATCATTGTTGTTATTATAGCATTGATTTTCCTTTCGCACACTTTATACAAAACGAAAGAAATTGCGCAATGTATTAATCCATGAGAATTGAATGCACGATTAGAAAATGATTGATGAACGAAGAGAAAAACAGAAAAACGATCTGATAAACACAATCGATCTTGATTAAAAACAATAATTTTTTTTCGTTATCTTATTGAATGATAGTCACGGGTAAAGAGATATCAAAGATAGGCGAGATAAATTTGTCGAATTTATTTGTTTTTCTAACGAGCAAAATCCCATCGAGATTGATCACGATTATTGGCTGGATCGTCGTTTGAGTGATTGTTTTGACTCTTATTGTTGTTTTCATCGGATGATGCATTTGACCACCATGTTGTTACAGGTAGCTGTTGAGTTGGCGTTGTTGACGATGCAGTTGCTTCAGTAGATAATGTGTTCAGATTCCAAAACTTACATATCAAAATCAAAGAGTAAATTTATCATAGAATGAGACTTCGGAGAGAAAATCATTACCGGATTCATGGCTTCTGGTTCGTGTCCATTGGATGGCGCACCATCCACTGATAGTGGATCAGGCGTTGGCCAAACTTTCAACCATGGATAGCTGTTTGGCTTGACAAATTCAGTAGTGGATGGTACAGTTGATTGGAATAGTTCGTTCCATGTTGAGGCACGTTGTGTACGTGTGCTTGCGCCTAATAAGCGCGGTGTAGTCGTGCCTAAGGCTGTTGACCAGACAGATGAATCTTCTCGTGGTGGCGAGCGCGCTCCTTCATTGATAGGCGACAAGAACTGAAATGGATTTGGTGCTTGTGTTCTTGACGATACATTAGGATTCTGAAGATTTGTTAGTGGCCATGAGGAATCATATTTAGACGACCATTCAGTCGGTGAAAATGCTGTCCAGGACATGTTTCCAGCACTTAAATCGTTGATTGGTGCAGTTGGACCGTTGACATTCGACGTTGTTGAAACTGTCGATGTTGGTGACGAGATTGAGCCAGTGGCAACATTGTTTTGATGATCAAGAAGGCGATTTATGTGATCGAGCACGTCCGGTGTTTCAGGTGAATGAAGCGATTCTGTTGGGTATGTTGATATTGATTGTGGTAATGGTATACATGTCAATTTATTTGGACGTTGTATTGGACCTGGGCCGTGCTGTGGAAATGGTAACGGTTCAACTCTAGGAAACGAAAAAGGCGCATTTTGAAGAATGTTAAAGCTTTTTCTAAAATCTCTCAGGAATGAGACTATTAAAATGATTGCCGTTTGGGTAAACGTTGCATCTCTTTCACTTACTCTTCGTTAATGATCGATGAGGGTATTGTTGCTTTCTGTGTAATAGTTGCTGGTATGATCTGTGGTGTTACTGCCGGTAACAACATCAGTGGTGGAATTTCATCAACTGGCGCTGCCACTGCTGCTGCTGCTGTAGTCGTTGTTGTAGATGATGAGGATGATGATGTTGCTGGTATCCATTCATTAATAGGGCTTGTTTCTTCCACAGGTAGTTCTACTTGAGGCACGTAGCGGCCAAAGTCTATAATACAAATAAGACAAGAATTTTTCTTCATTCTTCGATACGTATAAAGAAGTAATCATTAAACATTGAACAAATATAATATAAAGCACATTAATTAGGTTAGAATAGCATATGGAAAATAAAATATTTTAGCATGAATCAGATTAGTATTACTTTACAAAATAGTTATTGTCTAGTTTTCTGTATTTCTTTAGCTATTACTACTTGTAATATTAGACGAAGCGTGTGAGACTCCAGAAAAGAACACCTGAACGAAAATACCAACACCCTATCGTTAAGAGATTTCTTGTCATTGCATCTGATGGAGCTAATAACGAATAGTTTCGATGTGTTTGAATGAGGAAAGCAAGCGCGATCAATAGTTATACAAGCGGTAAGCGTGTCAACATATGCATGTAAGATAGTCGAACGTTAAGTATAACGTTTATATGTCGTATTATTTTTCTGCTACTATTACCCTCATCAGGTTTATCTGGATCATCCCAATCGATGATATTTTCGTCTTCAACATCATAGCTATTGTTCCATTCGATTTTAATAATTTCATCATCAGCACCTCCGCGTTCGGAAGGCGGCGCTGATGAACAACGGGAACGAACAGACATAGAGCACGCCGTCGCTGCCGAAGGCAATCCAGCCGCCCATAACTGTTCAGTCAACTGACGAAATGCCAGTTCACGATTATGAGGACTAATTGGTGTATTAGATGGAAAATCTCGTCTTTTTGACAGAAAAGGAATATGAGTGGGCGATGAAGGGCGAGCCGCACGTCGTCCTCGGCGGCGACGCGACTGTGTCACTTGATTATAAACAGAAGCGTGTGCACGAGATGATGACATCGCTGATACCATTGGATTTTCTACAAAAGAAGTCAATTCGAAACGAAATAAAACAAAACAACATCAAACAGAAGTAAAGAAGGAGAAGAAGGAGAAGGATATAGAACATTCATACAAAGATATGCATAGACACATGATATGAAGAACAAACTCTCGCATACGATAGAATAAGAAGGCAAGTTCTTACCGGAATTATTTGATATTGTCTTATTTGTTTTGCCCGTTACCGATTCGTCAGGTGTTTCGCGTCGATGTGTAGCTGCCGTAGCTCCCTTGCGTATATTCCGATTTGAACCAACCATATACCATTGTTGATCATTAATCGAATCCGTTGATCGTGATATTTCTTGCTGATGATGTCTCTGGTCGGAAAGTTCAAGGCGTGTAGTTGGTTTCGATACTCCTGTCGGCAAAGAGGGTAAGGGCTGTGTTGGTGGAGGCGTTGTTTGAGATGAAACAGTACCATTAACCGCTGGTGTTGATTTCACCGGTGTGAAATTCGAAGTTGACTCTTTTACCTTGCTGGTTACGCGTTTTGGTCGAGCAGGCTATACAAGCAAACAAATGGAAAACTCTACTTTTCTTCAATTACATTGTTAAAACATACAACAAATGGCTCATTTTCTTCATCAGTTAACGAAGTCGATGGGGGAGTTGTTGAACATGGTGTTGAGGCCGTTGATTGTTCTGTATTTGGTGATTTCGATGCTTTCAATGGTTGTGATCTGATGATTGTTTCTATCTGTTGTTTTGATGACTAAAATAGGCAAAGGAAAGTCTCGACTTCGTTCATGTGATTAAATCTCTTGTTTACTTTGGCAGCTAGTCCATTTTCTGTTGTTACTCGTTTATGTTTGTGTGCCATTGCTTTTGGACTAGTTGCCACTGACCGAACACCTGTATTCGAGACATCTGATGTTCTTGATGGCTATAAATTTAAGATGACAATGGAGTCGATGTTCATCAGAAAAGTATCTATTTACTTTCGACGATGTTTCACTATTTTCTTTGCTTCCATTTGTTGATCCATTGGAACGCTTCGGCTTCGTATCGTTTTCTCTTGCTTTGTTTTCATCCTTCGATGCATCTTTCTTAGTATTTGCTGTCTGCATTCCCGTACGCGACTCAATTCGTTCACTACACGCACACAACAGTGCATCTTTCATACAAAATATTTATAAATATCCTACCGAATTCGTTGTTCACCGTTCACAGCCTCTGTCAACTCGTTTAGATCAAATAATCTTTCATTCGTTGATGACATCCGACAACGGAGTTCTACTCGAGCCAAATACTAAAACATGAGACAAAACAGGAAGTTCACACTGTGAGGAAAGAATCATCGAACTCAATTACGTCATTATATAATCGATGTGCTTCATACACAGCGACCGCCACAATGTATACTAGCATGAATAAAGTTGAAGCCAAACATAAGCGGTAAAACTGTGTTTCCCATACAGGTCGTGGAATTGTTCGATAACACGTCGCCAGAACACGCTGTGGAATACGCACAATAAGCGGAAAGGTCATAACACCGATATTGGTATTCAATGTTAAAGTTTCAGCTATTTCAGTCAGCGTGTAGTCAGGTTGAAAACTAAAATCAATCAAAGGATGAATTGAATAACCAGTCACTTCTATCTTATCTTTACCGAATTTCAAGTTCATAACGTTCATCTGGCTCAATTTCGATTTCCGAACAAGATATTACGGAGAAGCCTTGTCCACTACATTTCGAATGGCCAAATGATATATCGTGGATAATAGCTCGTATGTTTCCCGTATTACGTAGGGTGACGATTTTCACAAGAATTGGATTTCCACGGGAAGTCTCTGTTGAGGGATAGTCTGTAAATGAGAGGAAAGTAGAAGGAAATTTGCTTTATTTGCACTTTGTCATGACATACTTGAACAAAGTTTATATTGTTTTTCATTCATTTCCAAAACAAGAGGTATGTCAGATGAACCAGCGTTACGGTTACCGACAGTTAAACTACCGCTACCACCTTCACCACGCAAAAGAATCGATTCCAGTATTGTTAAATTATTTCTAAAGAAGCAATTCAATCAATCAATTGAGGTCATTTTGAAGAAGAACGACATACCGAACAACAAAGTAAATCTCGTGTTTCATCGAATGCTTCGGTCGATATGACGCAGTAAAAGTCATCTGTTCATTAGGTGCAAGAGTAAATCTGTAGATTTCATCGGACAATTGTACACGTTTGGGTGTCTAGAAGTTTAAGCAGAAGCAGTTCAAATCGCAAAGATCTATTCAGCCAAAAATATACCGTCGAAATATCGAATACTTGTTGATTAGGAGCTGATATTCGCTTATTTCTTGTTTTCTTGTTATCATAACTACTGATCAGTTCAACTGAATATTGAAGTGGACCGGATGACGG